TAAAAAAAAAAATTTTGAATTTACTTACTTGTAGCCGGAGTTAGAGGCGGTCGGATACTTATGACCGCTACTGTATTAAGGAGAGAGGAAACAGAGACTAAATGTCTAAAATGTAATATGCATTTATACTCTAAAAAACTAATTGGTTATATTGACAAAACCACGTCGTATACGTCACAGGCGGAGACGTTAAGTATAAAAGCTAGTATTATTTTTTTTTATAAAAAAAAAAGAAAATACTTTTTAAAAGTTGACCAATTAAACGACACTAAAAAGCAAAATAAAATAAAATAAAATAAAATTTAACCATGAAATAAAATTAAACCTTTTTAAATACGTTCCCTGAGCGAAATATTCAACTTCCTTTACTATAATTTATCATCGACATTACTTCAAAATTTTACTTGCGGGGTAATACCAAAATAAAAATAAATTCAGGCGCTAAATTATAGTTTATGTAAAACATACCAACGTATTAATCGATCCTAGAAAATTTAATATAATAGAATCTGAATTTTGCTTCCAATTAGCTAAAATTTTTTTTTGGTCTCTGCCTCTTCTACGTTAGTATTAACGAACTCCATAGATTCTCTAATGTTAAGATCGAGACAGTTGGATGGACAGTCAATTACGAAGCTTAGGTTAATAACCCAATGGCGTGGTGGAATTCTTTGTAAAATTATGAACCAGAGGTTAGTTTTTGTGCTTAATACAGTATTATTCAAGAAATTTAACAATACATAAACTTTGTATTTAATAAAAATACTTAAATTAAAACCTTTTGCGGCATATATGTGACAAATTTTTTAGTTAATTTGTTATGGGAACATATTTGTGTAATAAAAAAAACAAATTTATGTTAATATAGGCAATGGTAATTATATATATAAATAAGATAGGTGATTCTATAGAAACCGTGTAATATGAAAACTTTTCAGAGAAACGTAATGTACTGATTCTTTATTAAATAAGTTTATTTTTTATTGTAAAAGTAAAAGGTAAATATTAATACAATAAAATTAACATCATAAAAAATTATTTTTCTAATGGTCATCTTTATTTTAAAGAGGTTTTGCATATTGTTAATTCATCATTTTTGTAATTAATCCCTTTGATGTTACAAATTTATTAATTTCAGCAGTTTTAATATACTTGTCTAAATTATTATAAAGTCGTTATTTATTTATATATTATAATAAACATTGTTAATAAAATTAACTTACTGTTAACTTGAGTTTTAGCTTCTAATTCCTCAATGTTACGTTTTCTTGGATTTTCAGAAGACCATTGAGTCGTTAAATTTTTATTTATTGTATGTGTGCTAAAATATTATTAAAAGTTATATGAAATTTGATAATTTTTATTTTAAATAGTTTGACAAATTTATTATTATATTATTACAATACCTTGTAATATCGAATTCATTTTCTTTTAAAACATATTCTAAATCAAATTCAAAGAAAATATAGTGAGATGCCTTCATTATTCGATCCTCTTATAAAGGCTATCAAGTTTACATATCTAAAAATGTTACTTACTATGTGCAATTAACGACGGTTCAGCATAAATTGCATCTGGAAACTGAGTATTGGAAGGCTGACAACTAAAATAGGAGTCGACATATAATTATCATAAAGTAAACTTTTCTCTAGAAACAGTACAGTAAATTGCAATACCTATGATCATCTATGTCAAATTCATTTTCTTTCGAAATATATCCTGAGCAATGGGAAAATATAAGAATTTATTATCTAATGCGTTAATCGAAAAATATATTTATGTGAAAATAATACATACCTTGTTTCAAATTCATAGATGAACTTTTGGAACAAGACCAAGAAATTAAAGAAACTAATGATCTACTTGTAAAAATTGCTTTAGGATGTATTATAGCAAATTCAGGACCAAGTTTTTCTAATTTTATTAGTTCTGACCGTTTTATATCTGCTTGATTAAACTGATCACTATTTGTTTTTTTATGAAACCAATTACCAACAGTCCTACGAACTTCTATTATGGAGGGTCTTTTTGAAGGATCAGAATCCCAACATCGTTTCATTAAATTAGCATAACATTCAGGAGTGTCTTCTGTAATTTCAGGTCGTTTTCCATCAATGATTTCATAAATAAGTTTATAATCATGTTCAACATTAGCAAAAGGCTTACAACCTGTTGTAAATTCCCACATAATCATTGCTATGCTATAAATATCAGAAGCTTTTGAAAATGAAGCACCGTTAAATATTTCTGGTGCAATATAGGGAACTACTCCATATATTTCATTATTTGATGTGCTATTTGCAGGTTGTGATAATCCTAAATCTCCAATTTGCCATTGATATATTGACACATATGATTTGACAAATAATAAATTACCACTATGAATATCGCGATGTGTAATGTTTTTATTGTGAACAGTTTCGAGTCTTATTAAAAAAAATTAATTAGTATTACAATGTTGAGAGGTATGTCATTAATATATTACGGATTATATCTTAATAGCAAAGCTCTCATCATTAAATAAATATATATATTTACCCATATAAAATTTGCCATAATATATTTAATGTTTTTTTTGAATTTTTTTTATTCCAAGTTAATTCTGTAAAATTCCTTTGTAGATAATTATGTAAATCACCTCCAGAAGCATAATTCATTACTAACATATAATCATTTGACACAGGGTCTTTTGTAATACCATGACATTTCATAACACGAACAACATTTTGATCTGAACAACAGTGATGATGCGAACTTAACTAAAATTAACAAAATTTGATTATTTACTAAATTGCATTTCAGATTTGGAAATATTAAATAATTACCTCATTTATGAAATATTTGCTAATATCATTTGAATTGGAAAACCTTTTTATCACCACGGTATGTTCTTTCTTATCAATTATATTTTTATTACGATATTTAGGTATGCCGTCTAAATAGTTTGCTTTATAAATCGTGCCAAATCCACCTACTGCTATTTTTTCTAAATTTGTGAATTGAGAATGTGGGATCCATTTAATTATCGAACGTGAAAGAACAAATATTTCTGTAAATAATTTATAAATGCTTAAAGGATCTGAATCTTTCATATAATTCGTAATCAGATTATCTGGCATAACTTTAAGTTTGTATTTAGTATTGTGAATGAATTCATCTATATCTTGATTCCCAGAGCTTATAAGTGTTGTATCATTCTGATTAAATAATGTTCTTTTACATTTTTTGCATTGAGATTGATCAGAAATTCCAAATATTATATTTGTTGTTAAACAATATTTACATCCATCATAAATTATATGGCAAAATGAACACCATTTCTGACAATTAGACATAAATTCGAGGGACTTTTTACAGACTCTACAATTAAAGTTACTAATATCCCACCACGGTAAATATAGTATTGGAATAGGTTTCTTAGTTAAACATGATTCTATCTGACCGGAAGAAATTTTATAACAATGTGCGCATATCTTGAAAGTATTCAGAACAAATGAGCTTTTCTTATGATAAATTAATCGTCCACATAATTTACAATCCCTGTTACGTTCCAATATTTTTAATTCCTTTTCAACCAAATAATTTGAAGTTTCTACGTACACTTGTTTAAAATATAAAATATCAGAACAACATTCACACCATTCTTGAATGTTTTGCGTGCAAAAATCTGCATTCCTAGTAGCTATATGTTCATAACATTGGGCGTTATTTCTAACAATAAGTACATCCAAGTAAGTATTATTCTTATCAGTTATATGACCAGCATAATCGTTTAAACACTTTTTACAATATGCTTGGTTAAACAAGCGTGTCGAAGAATATTCATTTCCACAATGGCACTTTCTACTAAATGGGTTTTTGGAACTACTAAAAGTAATAAACGTTATCGGTATAGGGCTGGATTTTAAATTTGGAGTTGGATCAAAAGAATTTTCAGTATCAGTAATTTTAAGTGTCATTTTGTTTTTTGATGAAAATATGAAATTTTCGACTCACGGTATTTATTAAAAAAAAATTTCAGACTTTGAAACAGCTCCTTTTTTTCATGGAATTCTTTCTTCATAGAATATCTATTCTGTGATTGACATTTTTGATCTTTTAAGAATTTCTTCGGTTTTCTAATTTAATTATAGAATTCCAATTTGAGCGACATGTTTTTGTAATACTCATTGGTCATAAAAATTGTGTCACTTAAATAGATAAGTTTGAAAGATGAAATTCCGAAAAAAAAAATTTCTTCGTCAATCTTCTCCCTTTCTACTGCAAAAGCCGATTTTTTTTTTATTTAATACATTGTATAGTAACACAAGCAAAAAAATTTAATTAGGTTTTGTTTTTTTAAAAAAAAAAAAAAAAATTTCAAAGCATATGGGAGCTAAGCTATTAAAATCAAGGCTACGGGACCTTCCAAACAAAATTAGATTTTTGATTCATTTTATTATATGATATATGATCTTATTAACAAAGCAAGCAATTAGACCGCCAAAATTTTCTAGACAAAATGAACGACATTAGAAACTTTTTTGATTCGTAATTTGCGTAAATATTCTTTTATTTGAATAATATGTCATTGTTTTTTTTTTTTTTTTTTTTATTATATTTTTTTATCCCCACCCCGATCTTTTTATTTTTATTTTATTTTTTTTTTTTTTATCTCCCTCCGATCTTCTTAATTTTATCTTTTATTTATTTATTTTTTATTTTTATTCGTCTCCCCCGTTTCTTTTTTTTTTTAAATTTATTTGTTATTATTATTTTTTTTTTTTTAATTATTTTTTTTATTCGTCCCCCTCCCCCATTCTTTTTTTTTTATTATTTTTTAATTTCATTTTTTTTTTTTTTTGTTTAGTTTTATTTATTTTTAATTATTAATAATAATAATCGCGATTTTTAATATAGCGGAGACTTATTGTCCCTGAAACCCGGGGCATTGTCGGGTAGAATTTTAGTAATAAACAATAGAAACAATAATAAGGCCATGCAACTTCGATTTTTCGGTTCACGTAACATTGAAATTTAAAAATCGACCCGGAGACTATATACAGTTCATGCCATATAGATGTTGGTGTCAGGTGATTCTATTTTATATAGTGGAAGCTATGGCCATTCCCAAAAAGGAAGGAATAGGTATAAATTTGGTTAGCTTCATGCAAGAACTATGGGTGCGTTTTTATTTATATTGATATCAATATTAATATCAATATCAATTTCAATTTCAATATCAATATCAATATTGATAGGAACAACGGTTGTTTATATATGATTTTTTTTAAAAAAAAAATTGGGACTGAATGATTACGATTACTAATTTAAAATAAATAAAAGAATTCGTTGAAAACATATACTGCGGTAACAAAAATCCAGTTTCATCTGATAATTTCAGCCAAAGGATGATCTGATCTTGATCCAACCTAAAACTGCCTAAATCAAATAAATAAGATGAAATAAATAATTAGTAATCAAATTAATTACAAAATAAGAAAAGAAAATAAAACAATAAATCAAAAGAATTAGTCAGCTCACTTTAGCCATGATGACAAGACAGTCAGTTCTGTTCAAAAGTTCCATCTGATTCTTAGCCAACCTATCAAACCTAAAAAGGCAAGATAATTACCAAAATAAGAAAAACATATATATTAAAAAAATTAGTCAGCTTATCTTCGTCATGATAACGAGCTGGTTGGTTCTATTCAAAGATTCCATCCAATTCTTAGCCAAAGTGAAGGAACCGATCGAACTTAAAATAAAGGAAAGAATAAACATTAAATTATTTAAAAAAATAATAATTAATAATACACAGAGAAAAAAAAGAAATAAATAAATATCGATAGCTTACCTTCACTGCGGTGATGAGCCAGTCAGTTCTATTTTAACAGCTCTGTCTGATTCTTAGCCTAAGCAGAGACACCAATAGATTCTAAAAATTAAGATAATAAATATTAAATTATTAAAAAAATAGTAATTAATAATATACAGAGAAAAAAAAGAAATGAAAAAATATCGATAACTTATCTTTACCGCAGTGATGAGCCACTCAGTTCTATTTTAACAGTTCTGTCCAGTTCTTAGCCCAAGCAGAGACACTAATTGATCCTAAAAATTAAGAGAATAACATTAAATTATTAAAAAAAAGATAATAATTAATAATATACAGAGAAAAAAAAAGGAAAAAATTGAAAATGATCAGCTTACTTTTGCTATAGTGACAAGGCGATTAGTTTCACTTGAAGATTTCATCCAGTTCCTAACCCAAGCAGAGATACTGATCGAACCTAAAATAAAGAAAAGAATAAACATTAAATTATTAAAAAAAAAATAATAATTAATAATACATAAAAAAAAAATGAAAAAAATATTGACAGTTTACCTTCGCTACAATGATAAGTCAGTCAATTCTGTTTCGATGATTCTATTCAGTTCTTAGCTAACTGATTGAACCTAATGAAATTTTTATAATTTAGTAATAAAATAAACATATAAAACAAGTTATTGTTGATTCATAAATTTTTCATTTTCATTTTTTTTTATAATAAATAAAAAAATGATTACAAATATCTCTAATATTATATACTATTACTGGATTTATTTTCATTTATCTTAATATCTAAGTTAAAAGGCTACGGCAGCTGATTCTATATATTGGAGTTTCTGACCTTAGGATTTTTTTTAAGTCCTACATGTATTCGTTATACTTGAATCAACTTGGTAATTTATCACGACTTAGAATTTAAGCTATATTAGTCAAACCTGTAATGATGAACTCAATAGTAAGATAGTGTAGTGTATTACAGCAATCCTAAGTGAAGGACAACGTTAAAGGGAAAGTAGTTTATATAGATTTAAATAGATTCTTTTATTTATAACTTAAAACTCGTAAGTAACTTACAAATGAGTTAATTTACAACTTAAGCAAAAAGCTATTCTATTTATATAAAATGAATTTGCTATGGCTAACTACTTGCTACGCTATAAATTAACTAAATATAAATATATATTTCAATAAAAATATACTTAAATATAATAAAACAACAAAGATAATATAAATAATGAAAATAACAAAAAGAAATAAAATAAGTTACAGATGTTAAAGAAATTACAAATGAAATAGAATAAATAGGATAAATGAACTGTACAGAAAATACAGAAGAAACAGACGTAATAGGCAAAACAGAAATTATTGCTGATCACTAGTTGGCACAGCAATGACATTATCTAACATGAGATCATTATTGATTGACATATCTTATGTGATATTTGGAGTTGCAATTTCTTCTGTTGACAATCCTCCTCTAACTTGAATTTTGAACATAGTAGTAAAAAAGAATTTTGCTCTCAAAATAAGATCCTGTATTTTACTCTTTATTAATTGTTGTATTTGCTAAGTGGTCAAGACTTTAGTCTAATAAAGTTGTGATATTTCTAATTTCTAGAATATTGTAAAAGCCTTTACAGCAGTCTCTCTTTGATATAGACTCAAAATTAATTTCACCTGTTGTGACGGGTAAAATTTTAGATAGATTTTAATTGGTAGAATATTAAGTCTATTTTATTGTTATATAGATCTTTTATGAAGATCAATTTGTCCATTTTATTGCCATCGATCAATTATATAAATCATTAGATGTCAATTTTATTGCCTTTGATAATCACGAAGATCATAGATGTCTATTTAGTTGCCTGTAGATCTGGCAATTTTATTGACATGGCAACTTTATTACCTAGCAAGATGACAACTTTATTTCCTTCGATATATTTAGTTTAGTTTATTTTATTATTTATTCAGCATGTATAAATATCTCTGTATTTTCTTTAAGTCTCAGCACCAATGAGATATTAATCTTTTAGGTACCAAACTTATATATTATATTAATAAAGGAATATAATTAACCAAGTACAAAACTTATCCTTCGCAAACCCTTTGAAACTGTTATAAATTACCCGTGACCCTTTTGCATTCGTGCAATCCCTTTTGTTAGTGAACTTATTATATGATATTGTATTGATTTACTGTATTGACTTGGAGTCTCTGAAGCGTAATCTCTAAAATATCTTTGAGTTATCTTTGAGTTTATTTTGTGTTTATCTCACGTGATTTATATTGAGAATAATCCTTCAACATTATTGTGAATCCTCACCCGTGATTCCTTGAGTAATTGTCTTAGTTTTATTTACCCTTTAAGATTTTATTTATAGTCACAAAACCATCGTGATACTGTTTATAGTTAATATCTTCTAGAGAATCCAAAAGGTCTCTGATAAAATACATATTTATTAACATTCTGATTCTGTTTCTGACTACCTTTGTTCATCGATAGTTTCTTTGAATTATCCTCATTTTCATTCTAAAATCATCTATAGGTTGATATAGACGATAGTATTCTTGAATCTGTAATAGTTCCATTTGCGTTATGTCTTGTAATCTCATCCATTTTTGCAAAACTGATACTGATAGAGAATAATAATGTTTTATATATTTTCTCATATGTCAATCACTATTTGTAATTCCCATAACCATCGATCAAAATAACTTTTTAGTAGATTACCATTTACTGGTTTGGCAAGAATACGTTTATCTTCTTCTCTTAAATGAAAAGATCCATTTATTAAGATCTCATAAATTCTGTAAGGTCCTTTCCATTTTGGCTCTAATTTTCCTGAGAACTGATTGATTTGTGCAGCATCAAAGTACAAAACTTTTTGTCCTATTTCAAATGATGTTAGTTTAGTCAGATGTTTGTCATAGGCTGTCTTTTGTTTATTTTTCATGGCGATCATTGTATGTTTAGCTTTTTCTCTGATATCTAAAAGTTTTTCTATAATTTATCGAATTTGGTCTATCAAATTTTTATTTTTCTGATCAACATGATCATCAAGAAGTAATCTCGCTTCTCATCCATATATTAACAAAAATGGAATCATTTGGTAATAGATTGTTAAGCAGTATGATAAGCAAATAATACAGAGGCTATATGTAGATCCCATTTAGTTTATTCTTGTATAATTTTTGCTAAAGATTTCTTTAATATTTTATTAAATCTTTCAACTTGTCTATTCGTCTGAGAATGATATAGCATTGAATTATGATGTTTGATTCCAAATTTTTTCATTAATTCTTTTATTATAGCATTATTGAAATATGTTCCTCTATCTGACAGAATTTTCATAGGATATCCATGTCTACAAATAATTTTTTTATAGACAAATAAAGTGACTTGACTGATGGTAACTTCTGCAATAACTCTTGCTTCTGACTATTTAGTAAACATATCTACAGCTATGATAATATATCTATTTTCTTGAGGAGTTATTGGTAAAAGGCCAATAAAGTCAATTCCAATCTGATAAAAAGGACTATGAAGGAGTATAAGGTGTAATTTATTATTCTTGCTTGGTCCTCCTCTTTGTTGACAAGAATCACACGTTTTTACATACTCTTTAATTTCTTCATACATCTGAGGTTAATAATATCGAATTTTAATTTTGTTAAATATGATTTCTCGTCTAAAATATCC